CGTCGGCTACGCGAACAACAAGCTCAAGCACGAACGCTGCTACGAGTCGCCGCTGACCGAGAACTTCTTGACCGCGACATCCAGCACCAGCTGTACACAGCACGCCAGCTCCTCCCTGCGCACCGCAGCGCCCAGCATCCACCACGACATCCACCTCAAGTTCCAACCATGGCGACGTCATGGAGTGCAACTGCGACCGGATCGGGAACGGAATTGCCACCATGGAAGACAACATCAAACCGCCCACGAAGCAGGCCAACCACGCCGAGACCCACCACACAGGCAAGTGGAGCGGGTTTTGCACGTCGGAAGAACCACCTATGGACGGACCAGTGGGCCAAGGAGCACCCAGACAGGAATTGGAGCCACAGCCACAGTGGCAAGGGCAACAACTACAGCTGTAAAAGAAATGCAGCGAAAGACGACAACGAACCCGACAACTGGACCCCGAAAGGCAATAATAAGTTCAACAAGAGCAAGGGCAAGACAAAGCATTCAACCTGATGGTGAAACACATAGCACAAAGAAGGAGGACACCAATTGCTGCAACGAACGCATCGCAAACACCATCAACAACGGCATGCACATGAGGAAGATTTACGCCACAAGGAAGCGCGACTGGGAGTTACCACTCGACGGCCCCAACCTGAGGGACGACTAGAAGAAGATAACACATCGAACTGGGGCGGCCCGCAACGGCCATCGCCAAACACAGCGAAGCAGGATTAGTTACGACAGATGCAGTGTCGCAGGTCGCTCCCAGGATGGCCACTATCCCCAGCAGTATGTCATGGGCCCAACAAGCTAGGGATATCGAGACAACGAAACAGATCATGGAGGATTACTACGAGCACGCCAGGACCCGCGTACAAACTATACAGGTCCACATGAACAAGTTGGAGAATAATATTGAGGAGCTTGCCGCTCCCCAGCGGGACATCAGCAACGCCAGCGACGGTCGGTGCAGCGGCGAAACGGTAGCCGACGGGGAGGCCGACAAACCCCGACGTGAGGCACCCGAAAAAACGGATCCCCACCCACGCGCCAATGAGAGACAAGCATGGGCGGGGAATACTACAGAAGGTCAAGACGTCGGCACCTTGCTCAGGAACCTCAAGAACGACACATAGCGCATGGCTTACGACACCAAGATGGGCAGGACTGACGCCGACAACGTGATCCAGGACCCCCCAAATCACTTCCGATAGGCAGAAGAAGCAGTTTAAACATATGAGCGCGACAGAAACGCAGTAGCGCCGAGAATAACCTGATCCACCATGTGCCCCCACAGACAAGTCCACGAGGCACGGCGATGTCCAGAGTTGACCAGATCCACGAGGTCATCACCACGCAGATGCAGAAACGAGCTGGCCAATAGGAGGCATAAGGAAAGGCCATCCATTCAAAGGCCCACACCTGCTCCGACCTGCTCCACGTCGCCGACCACAACTGCACCCAAGTGACGCCATTCCCTTCCTCGTCTTCTTGACCAGCACGTTGGCAACCAGTGGCGCAAAGGCCTCGCCCCCGCGAGGCGACAACCTGACTGTCGAAAAGAACGATTTCCACGTGGCACCTCAGACGCGAGCTGGGCTTCATGTCGTAGAGGGGGGGCCAACGGATACCGGGCGCCGCTGATAGAAGCCACCGACGACGAGTTACGCTTCTCCATGAAGGACAAGACCGAGCACAGGGCCACCATCAACCATTTCAACGAGGTGAACGAGAGGTGTGAGCTACTGCTTGGGCAGCCGTCGAACGGCAACCCGCAGTGGCCGGAGATCTCTGGGACGCAGTTCCAGCCAGCCGACGTCATCTTCGAGGAGGACGTCGACGGCCACCGCGTCGCCCACGACGTTCCCCCCGCGCTCGAGGCCATTGCGGTCGCGCGACCAGCTCGACCATGCCCGCCGCCATGGAGGCCGCCAGAACGCATCTTGACGCGCGGCGTCGCCAGGACCACGGTCGCAAACATCAGCGACCTCATTTCCCACACCGCGCCTGACATGCGAGCGGGGGCTGAGAGGCAGCTGACCAACGTGGAGATCTCCTACTACGACAGCTTCGACGACGAGCGCCAAGCGGAACTTGAACTGAATGGTTTCGCGACACGCAGACCGCCCAGCTTGGCCGGGCGAGAACGACGGAGAGCGCGGCATCACAGCGCCTTCCAGCCTAAGTCGGCAGACCGAGTCATGACGGTCAGCCACGCGCGCGCGGCGTCCAACCGAGCGGACCCGCCGCCGCCACCGCCTTTCTACCCGCCAGACAACGCGACATGGGGCGAGCACACTCTAGCAAAAGCTCCCCAAAGAGCGAGAATCCCTAGCGGGCCACGTGCGTCGCCAAGCCTCCAGCCACCTCTACCGCGCCCATGGGTCACCCGCCAGCGCGAAGGCAGGCTGGATACATTGGGCGCCCAGGTGCGCCACTTCAGCTTGGATGCCGAGGAAACGACGCGGGGCCGCCCAGGCAGCGTGCAACTACGCCCGGGATGAAAGTGAACTCTATCTGCCGAGGACGCGGGGTCTTTCTACGACGGCGGGGGGGCCACCGCGAAGTGCGCCCCCCCGTTGCTGCGCGCGGTCGCGCGCAACTTCCACCGCCGCCGGCGCTCCCGCCCCCGCAGAGGCCGATATCATTATCGCCGCAGGCGCGCTTCTACTACGTCGATATATCTGCCTTGACTTCAGTGACGACATGGGCGACCTCAAAAACAATATCAGCTCTCTCACCCACCGCGAAGTCAGGGAGCTCGCCGTTTCGGACGATCCTCGAGTGCGCCGACAGGCCTTGCCGCTCAGCAAGCGGCTCGACAACCCAATCCCATCGAGATGGCGCCCTACGGGTCGCCCGCGAAATCGAGGCCGCCCAGCCGCAGCAGGGGCCGGCGCACTGCAATTTCCTTCTCAAGACAGCGAATTTCCTAGCGCCACAGCCGCCTGCGTCGAACAAGCAGGGCGCATCAAGCAGCAGCGACGCGACAGCCACGCTCATGCGACAGGGCCCACGCGCCCCCAAGCCGATGGCAACGTCGCCGACACCGAACGACAGCCGCGACGCACCAGCCCCCGTAAGAGAGCCACGATGCAAGGCACCTCCTGCCGCATCCCAGCTTTACTCCAATCAGCTACGCGCGGCCGACCAAGGAGGAGGGCATGCGATGCGCAGGCCGACTGAGCGGCAGATCCACGGGGAACTTTCGAAGTCATCATTCATGACTCCGCCTGAAAGCATCGGAGCGGCAGCCGCGCGCGACGCCTCCCGCGCTCCGACGACCGCGCGACGACACCACCGGCAGCGCAGGTCAAGGCCAACGTCGTGCACGACCTGGACATGGCTTTTGAGATGATTAGCCTTTCGACGGGACACCCGCCACCTGGCGCGAGAACTACGGTGCTCCGCGCGACTGGCAACGAGAAGCGCAATCTTTTCGCCTGTCCAAACACCTGACCTTCCCCGCCCAGTTCGCCAACCGCCAGCAAGCAGTGATGCTGACCTACACGGTCGACGAAGTGTCAGGCGACTTGTTGGCGCCGCATGCCATGGCTACGCGGCGGCGGAGCATGCCCATGTCCATAAAGCCGGCCGCGTGTTACAACCCGACTTCCATGCCTGCACCGTGCATTTTCACGTGGTTCCTGATCGTAGCTGCGACGGCGCCGGTGCGAAGTGCATCCGAGTTGATCAACGCGCAAGACCAACCACCCAACGATCCAGTCAACGATGGGAGAAGAGAGCAATCAAACGCAGTCCACCAACACAAGCGCGCCACAACCCTGCCCACCTCAATTCCGATTGCACGTATAGACCCCTGGGATGGGGGGGGTGAGGCCCCTGTTTGATGGACTTTTTTTTTTTCGGTATCGTTTCTGGGTTTGGGGGGTTTCTGTGGTTCCGCGTTTGGCTCAACTGGTTTCGCACCAATCATGATCATCACCGCCATCGACATTAGCGTCGCCATTGTCACTCCATCACCATAGTTACGTCCGTCATCACGGTCATAGCCAATGACGCATGCGCCGTCATCGTTATCATCACCATCGCAATCATGATCGCCATCCGTAAACATTTTGGCTCAAACTGTTCTGTCATGCAAACCCCCATCCTCATTCCTCGAGCTGCTTCTACACAACCGTCGTTCAGAACGGGCCACGATAAAAAGCGAGTTCGAAACAAGTTGCCCAAAGTGTTCTTGGCTGTTTCTGGAGACAAACACATATTGGGGGCTTTCCTCCTCAGCAATGTGTGCGAAATGGGTTCTGGTCGACTTGTAGCTGTGGTGGCAGCGTGGTGCCCGCTGAGATCGCCCTTCCCGACCACGACGGCGTCGTCGAAGTTTGTGGGCCCTATATATTCGTTTCTTCCAGATGTGGAAAAAGATATACGATGCGCTCCCGCGCAGATTGGCTCAACTTTAAATGAACACTTCAGTGCGTTCGCTCACTCTTCATGGCGGGCGTGGAAACTTGATAAAGACGCAGAGTTGGCATTCAAGAGTCCCAGTCCGCCTCAGCATTTCTATACTGAACGCAAATATTTGTTGGGCATCGGCGTGGCAGCCGAGAAAATATCGCAGATCCGTGACGTGGTCCCGTTTGCATCTGAGGAGCCAGGCGTGCTCGAGGACGTGGCCCCTCTCGAGGACAGCGACGTGGCGCCTCTTGTGTCTGGGGACTCCGCGGCGTCGTCGCGCGCCGCCAGAGGTGGTGGAAGTGGCGCCGCTCATGCTGCGCTTGATCACCTACACGGCATTGCTCGAGCGAGGTCGGGCGGCTTCGTGCCTCACGTGTTCGACCCCTTCTATCTCATGGCCGCTCTCCAGTTGAAACATCATTCGAAGCAGGGTAGGTCCCTGAAGTCTGTATTGCACCATGCTGCACCGTTCTTCTTCGACCAGGGCCAGAGTAGTCAGTTTCAGCATGGACCCAGAGAGTGCGCGTTGCCGACGGAGTCGACCATGCGCGAAGCGCGCGTTCAGCTCGACCTCCTTTCTTCAGGTTACGCGAGATTGAGACAAAAGGATTACGTCAACTGGATCTACTTGAACCCCGACAGCTCTCCACAGCTAGGATGGAATTGGCTGGTGGTTCGGGAAGATAAGTTCTCTTGGCCCAAAGATGATAGTATCGATGCGATCATGGCTTCGAACTTCAACTCCAAGATGCAGTCTCGGACCTGCCGTTTGTCAACGATCGGGAGAGGCCACGGTGCGGCTATATTCAAGTCTGTGAGCCTCGCTACGTTGCACAAGTGCGAGTGCTCCAGCATCGAGGACTATAATAAGTTGAGGTCTGAGGTGTATGGAATTTGCACAGATCAAGGAGTTGAGTCAGCCGTTGTCGATATCGACACTCTTGAGCCCAAGGGCGACCGCTGCGAGAACTACTCTGACAATCGTGCCCGCATGTACCCGAACGCCCTGGGCATGCCAGAATCGTTGCACATCATGTTCAACGCGTTACAACATGCCGTTGAGAAGTTGCCATGCCACAGAACTTTCATATCAGATTTACGGAACATAGAGAATTTTCTGGCTGATAGATCGTTGAGGCGGTTGTTCGTCAACACGTGCCTCGACGATTCTTTGAAATCCAAATTCGACCACTATTCAACAGTGCACATCAGCTGGAGGTGGGAGGTCCTTGTCAAGGCGCTCACTGAATTGATCCCTCGCTTTTCAATTTTGAAAGATCGCTTTGACTTGGGAAAAATGAAGACATCTCCAGAGCGGCAGGTAAAGACACACGTGATAGACGATGCGTACGCTTCCCTGCAGGTGCCGCACTTTTTAGAATTCTGTATCATGGTAAAGACCAGCGGCAACACACTTGAACGGTTTGCGAGTCGCCTCGAGGGTTGCGAGTGCCACGCCAGTCTTTGGAAGTCCCATAGCAACCACAAGAAGAAGACCCGACTGTTGGAACGAGACACTGGTTTCGCACATTGCTTCATGAAGGGGCGGCAAGCATCGTGGTGGTTTGCCGAAGGGCTGGGCCAGTGCTTGGAGGCGCTGAAGAAGTGCGACTCCGACGAGTTGCAACTGGCCATGGGCAAGCTCGACTGCGAGCCACGGGCGCAACTCCTTCGACTCCAGACCCAATTGGCGGATTCGTTGGTCGAAGAGCTTTCTGATAAGTTCGCGTTCAAGGACGTGATCCCATATGCGGCACTCAAGATCTACATGTGCGAAATTCCTGGGGGGAACTTGCATTCTGCTAGAATGGACGCGGCAGATTGCGTGCGTCAGTACGATTCAGCAGTGGAGGCTGGCAGGGGGCATCTGCTCCATCGAGTCGCGCACTTACTTCTGCGACCTGGCACGCACTGCAGGAGCGAGCTCGACGATTTCGCCAACGGGGTAGGGCACAGCTTGCGGGACTTCACGCACCTGCACTCCATGATAATGAGGTATGCTCTGATACCGATCGTGGGGAGGAGAGTAGAGGGGGCCCATGCTATCATCAGGCGCCTCGGCCTCATCGCGAAGAACATGTCACCTCCGTGTATTTCTGCTTCCAACTCCGAGGCTGAGCACTTGGCGCGCTTGGATAACGATGCGGAGTTCAAGCGGTATTGCCAATCGACCTGGAGTTCGAAATCTCTTCTGAACGATTTGTTGAGCTTAGTTGTTCCGGGAGATGCATTGAAAGAAATGAGCAGGAAGGACAAGATCAACCGAGTTTACCAATGCGACCTCGCGTCGGAGTTCAAGGACCTCAGCGTTGAAAGGCAGTCCCATGACACGTGGAAGCTGCTAACTCAACACCTACGGAGTGCGCATCCAGGCTTCCCATATTCGTGGAAGATCGTTGTCACGTATTTGAAGGAGAAGCTCTGCTCTGGTAGCATATTTTCTTTACCGACGAGCTTGTACAATCTTGCTCTGGTCGATCATGGGCCCGATGAAATCGATATCTCTGCGGTTAACCCTTGGGAGCAAGCCATCGATGTTATCGGCCATGAGCCCAGCGAGTTCCAGTTCGATGCGGTCGACTCTGTTACATTTTTTGAGGTCGTGAACCCCTGGCCCGAGAAGCGGAAGCAGATTGCGTTATCTCACATTATCGAATGGGGCGATCGCGTCAACGTCAGGAGGCGCCTCACCTTGCAGACCGACGTTTGTGACAGGAGCGTTACGCTATTGTGCGATGCGGACTATGCTGAAACGCTCCACATGCGCCCGTTAGTTCACGACTTGAAGCGGTCTCTGCTGTCTTTGTACACGTGGGCCGTGATGGGCGACGGGTCTGCTTTGGGAGTGCGCCAGCGGAATCTGGGAGAGCTCGAGCACATCGTTGCTGCGCCTCGCAGCCTGGTGATTCCCAGTGCGAGTGACGCGTTGGTTGTCTCGTCGCCCGCCGAGGTCGTCGCGCTCCCCGACGTTGGAGAGTTGGCTCTGGAGCGGTATGAGGCTACGACCAGCGAGAAGATGGTGGCATGTTTAGGCAAACTCCGAGACCTACAGCATGGCGACGACCGAGACGACGATCCTGTCTGGGTTCAGTACACGGCGCTGGAAGGCGTGCACATGAACACGATCCAAGATTTGCACAAGGCTGGAGCAATCACCGCCGTGAACGACGAGTTCGGGGAGTTGGTCGTTTGTCTGCAAAAGGCTGGTACTATGTTCAGGGCAGTGCGTAAAGTTGGCAGGCCGCTGCAACTCTGTTTTGTGGATAGCACCAAGTTTGCCAGCAAGCTGGACATGATATTTGCTCTACTTCGTGGTGGATGGAAGCCTGGTGCCACTAGGCCGTTCAAGATACGTGGTGCGCGCAAGTTCATGTGCAATAAGGACAGGCCTTTGAGTTATTTTGCATGTCTTCTCCAAGTTGACATGCTATTTGAGAAGGGGTTGAAGCAGCTGCCGCACGATTTGAAGGACTACCATTACCAGTGCTTCCTGCGTCTTGCTGGACATGCACTGCTCGCGTTCGAGGCCGACTTGCAGTCGCATGGCCTCGAAGAGTGCAGGCGCTTGCTGCGCGATGCCCCCGAGGCGCCAGTCGACGCGCCTCCCCTGGAGGACGACCTCGAGCCAGCAGCGTCGGTGGAGGTACGACCGCCTTTGCTCGCAATCTCTTTGCCAGACACCGAATGGAAAAGGTGCCACGTGCGTTGTGAGGGCGGCCGCTCTTTCAAAGTGATATATGACCATTGCACTGGCCACGATGGGAAGCAGAGAGGGTACGTCAATTGCAAAGATCCAAACCATGAGAACTGCTTCAAATGGAGGCCTTGCGAAAATTTCCAAACGAGAGAGGAGCATTGCGCTTTCTTGTGGCGTTGGGCGGCCGACTCAGCGAGCTTCGCTGGGCGAGAGGGCCACATGGCCCACCTTCCTTCGCAGGCGAGCGTTGCCGTTGCACTGCAGACTGTGTCCTTGATTGGCTTCTGACAAAAACAAACTATGAAACCGAGTTACACTCCTTCATAATAACTCCCAGTGGCACCCCGTCGCATAGAGACACTGCCAGACAGCAAATAGCAACACATGTGTATTTCAGTGTTGCGAGTTCCTGAACTATTTAGAAAAACCAGGTCGGTTTCGTTCGCTGGTTTCGTTGTCTGGACCAGCCGTGCACCCAGGAAACGCCATTGCTCGCATCAGTGATGTTGGATTCTGGCTCGTGCGTTATTTGGTAGTCTGATCTCGAACCTCAACGCTTGCCCTTCGGCAAAACTCAAATTGCAGTGTTATTTACATAACTGATTTGTGAGCACATCGAGATGTCTTTTGGATGTCGATATTGATTCGCATGTTACCAGATTTGTGAGCACGTTGGGATGTCGTTGGGATGCGTTCCCAGATTTGTGAGCACATCGAGTTGAGTCGGGCCCTAATATGTCTGAACGACGTTTCTGTATCGCATTTATGGATCAAGCCATATTGGCGCATCTCTGGGCGTGTTGATTTGTCTTCCAGTTCGACTTGAGCCGCTCATTGCGAGCGCATACGCAACCTCGTCGCTCCCATTGTGGACGACACTACCTGAGCAATGGATCTTGCAGGCCAAGCCTCGCCTACTGTGGTCCCACATGCTTCGCCGACTGGGGAACGCGATGCGGACGTGGCCAGCGTCGCTTCTAGTCAACTCGGATTGGGCGCAGAGGCTGCGACCTTGGGCAAGTTTGGCCAGGCCATGGAACGCCACTCTGGTGGAGTGCTCGGCGGCAACTCTTTGGTGGATCAGGCGCTGTCGCAGAAGTCCCTTCTCGCGGGAGTTGCAGCGCCGCCGACGCCTTCGACTACACCTGGTGGCGGCGTCGCCCAGCGCCCCAGCCGTGGGCAAAGCAGCCGCCCCAGCAAGGTCGGCTCACGAGATATGTTCTGGTGCTGTAAGTGCCATCAGGAGAGGCCGATGTCACTTTGTGTTTCGCGCGGGACGCAGCAAATCTGCGATCCAGACGTCAAGGCCTACAACAGCCTCGTTGCTCGCTGGAAGGGCAAGCCATGCTTGCGCAAGTGGTGGCATGGCAAGTCGGAGGCCGATCAGGCTGAGTGGTACCGCAAGCAGCAGGCGCACGTTCCAGGTACGAAGCGGAAGTTCGACGAGATGGAGGTGTCCGAGACGAGCGCCAGGATGGCCGTGAAGGACGACGTCAAGGAGGACGACTGGATCCCGCTCAACATCTACCAGCGGCGAGTGGCCATGGAGGGCGTCAGCAATCCTGATGCCGCCCAGGAGTTCAAGAGGATCGTTGAGCGCGGCGAAGGCCTCTGGCGCGCTGGCCAGTGGCACGTCCACGACTACCAAGGTTTCAAGATGCACACGGGCATCCGCGAGGCTCAGGGCTATGCCACCACGGGCAAGTACGCGGTCGCGGGCCGCGAAGACCTCGCCAGACGAGTGGAGGAGTGCTCCACCAAGTTAGACAGCCAGCTCCTCGCACACGAGCAGTCCTTGAATGGTTTCCAGGCCGCCCCGTCTCGCGATGCTCCCAACATCCAGTGCCCCACGAACGGCGGCGTCACTCTCCCGCAGTGGCACGACCACTTCGAGGCCGGCATCCATCGCGAGGCACATTGGGTAGGCCTCAAAGGGAACTCCCCCGCTACTTAGCCTCCTGCCCATCCGCCTTTTCCTGGGGATTCACTGGTGTACGTTAGTGGCAGAAAACAAACACGACACTAGTGTTCAACTAGTGTTTGACTCATGTTTGCTCATGTTTGGTGTTTTCTGGATCCCATGGAAAAGCGGTCGCATACTAAACACACGAAGTGAAACTAGTGTTCAACTAGTGTTTGACTCATGTTTACTCATGTTCGGTTTTTTCTGGGATCCCCTCGAAAAGCGGTCGCATACTAAAAACAAAAAGCGAAACGAGTGTTCAACTAGTGTTTGACTCATGTTTACTCATGTTTGCTTTTTTCTGGTTCCCATCGAAAAGCGGTCGCATACTAAACACACGAAGTGAAACTCGTGTTCAACTAGTGTTTGATTCATGTTTACTCATGTTTGGGTTTTTCTGGGATCCCCTCGAAAAGCGGTCGCATACTAAAAACAAAAAGTGAAACTAGTGTTCAACTAGTGTTTGACTCATGTTTACTCATGTTTGGTTTTTGTTGGATCCCCTCGAAAAGCGGTCGCATACTAAAAACAAAAGACGAAACTAATGCTCAACTAGTGTTTGACTCATGTTTGCTCATGTTTGTTTTTTCTGGATCCCATGGAAAAGCGGTCGCATACTAAAAACAAAAAACGAAACTAGTGTTCAACTAGTGTTTGACTCATGTTTGCTCATGTTCGGTTTTTCTGGGATACCCTCGAACAGCGGTCGCATACTAGAAACAAGAAAACAAAACTAGTGTTCAACTAGTGTTTGACTCATGTTTACTCATGTTTGGGTTTTGTGGGAAATTACCGGAGTGACGTTCGGGGCAGATACCGAAATGTCAACTCGTGCTCAAGTCGTGTTTGTCTCATGTTCACGTGTGTTCTTGCGTTTGCGATGCGTTGCCCGCCGCAGGCAGCGGCGGCCGAGCGACTGGATGAGGCACACAAGGCGATGGCGGCGGCAGACGACATGGAGGCCGCTCTGGCCCGCCAGGGGACTGGGGCCATCGCGGTCGCAACAGGCGAGGCGGCGGACTCCTCGAAGTCGAGGGCCTCCCTGAACGTGAAGAGGATTGGCGTGCTGGCCAGGGTCTCAACCGCCGAGGTTAAGCGCACGGAGAAGATCGCGCACCTCCAGACCCAGATGACCCAAGCAGACGGCAAGTGCGATAAGGTGGTGAAAGCGAACCCTGGTAGCGAGGAAGCGATCAAAGATCTTCGAGCGGAGATGCACGACTTGAACTCGAAGGCCATCGAGTACGTGAACTCGGACTACAAGAATATCCTCGACGTGAATACGTCCACCACTGCCGGTGCCTTGGACGTCGCCGCGGCCTCCCTCGTCACCCACGCGAAGACTCTGAACGCGGGCGCGGTGGCAGATTTCGCAGCGGTCCTGCGGAAGTTGACGGCGCAGACTGCGGGGCTCTCGCGGGCCAAAGGCGACTCGTCCACGAGGAAGCAAGAGAAGGATGCGTCGATGAAGACCGCCACGAGGCCTGTCATGCACACCATCCTGGTTGATGACACCGCAGTAGACTTCCACAATATCGCCGAGTCCATCTTCGAGGCCAAGGGCGGCTTGCGCCCAGCGGTTGCCAACGCTGCCAGCGGAGAAGCCTTCGACAAGATCAGCAGCCTGCCCATCGTCAAGAAAGGGATGAACGCGTGCCGTTTGTCCTTGAAGACGGGCATGGGCACGGTCAGCCAGGTCCTCTCAGCGGGCCGCCTTGCGGAGAGAAAGCTCGACGAGGCAGTGCAGGGGTGCTTCGGCCAGGACGTCCGCACGAAGATGCCCCTTCCGAAGGCGGAGTGGGCTGATCAGGTATTCAAGTTCGAGCTGCTCGCGACTGGCGCCTCTGCGCTGCTGGTCAACTGGGCACCGTACTGCATGATGAGCGCCGTCGTGATGATGGCAGGGAACGCAGCGCTGGCGGGCATCAAGCCCGATCGCGTGCCAGGCAGCACGTGGGCGGAGAAGCGGGACTACCTGTACCAGTGCGATAGCTCCCGCCTGATCGCGCTGATCCACGACGGCGGCTGGTTCTGCGAGTTCGAGAACGGCAACACCGCGAAGGGCCACTGCATGATCGTGATCCCCTCGGGCTTCATGATTCTTACCGCCGCCGACGGTGCCACCATGCTCAGGTGGCCGCTCGTCTCCGACGATGCTGACAAGCAGCGCGTCAGCAGTGGCCTGCGCAGTCTGCTGGACTCCTTCCCAGAGTTTCGCGCCGAGGCGCTGGGCCACACGCAGATGGCCAGCTATCTCGACAGCCATCGCAGGTGATGGAAGTTCAGCTTGGTGGATGATCTAACGCTGGTGCCGCGCCAGCTGCAGGCTTGTGTGGCACGACGCTCTTACATGTATTGTGTCGGCATTTTGGGTTTGCCAGCCGATTGCTTGGCAGTGGTTATACATTACAATCTGTCGGTTTCATGTTGCAACATATGTGCGTCTAGACTTGCGAGGAAATATGTACACTACAGATTCTCTTGGACTCTCCGTCCATAGTGCGCCGCTTGGGGACAGAAGTCTGCGCCTGGGATTCTGACCGAAAACGTACTGGGAGCTTTCTTGTTTCATGCGTTCTCTTGTGAAGCTAATGTGTTCTCTAACTGCAAGTTGCGCTATCCCACGTCTCCCCCGTCGTCGTCTTGGCGTCCGCTCACGTGCAATGCATGGTCTCTCGGCCCTGCCGTTGTAATCCTAGAGGCTTTCGCCGTTCCGCTGTCCCACTGTGGGGGATGTGGGCGTTCAATCACTAGTACGATCGCCTGTGCAAGTACAATCATGAGTATGCGTGCAACGATCGGCACCATCACAATCAGCACGATCACCCGTGCAATCACCAGCGCATGGCATGTGTAAACGCACGTGCGCGCACGCCAGTACACGTGGACTTACACGCACAATAGTTTTTTCATCAGCGACCCCTCGGGGCCCGAACGGTTGATCAACAAACAGAGCTCATACGTGAGCAGCAAACGAACCAGTTCCTATAAATGCGATTCTCGTTGGCCGAAGAATGAATTCCTATCGAGGCGCTTCTCGCTGGCCGAAAAGCTTCACCGATAAACGCCGTTAGAATCAGAGGCGGGCGATCTTGCCGCCGCGAACACTCGACAAGCCGACGTTGCCCGTAGTTTCGCGGTATCATGCTCGCGGCTCGTGGGCGACGTGGGAACTGGTTCGTGGTTTGCGGTTCTCTCCCTCTGCATTTTCCTGGGGGGCCTCACCCCCCCCCCATCCCAGGGGTCCACAATTGCACGACCAAAGGCCAGGCCGACATTCAAACTGCGCAGGCACAGTCTGACCCACCCGCGCAGGAGCAACCAATGCAGAACGAGGAACTGAAATATGGACCAGGGCAAAGAGCTCCAACGTTTCAACAGGTGGGAACCAGCTCTAACAGAAACCGCAACGTGGTAGCAACAGCGCCTGACCCAACGAGCGCCACCAATTGTGACAGCTGGGGCCAGCGCGCTTCTGCCAACGGACCCACCGCCAGTGGCGCAGCGGAAGGCGACCGACTCTAGCAGCTAAACCAAGCTGACAGAAAGCCCCACGGGGGAGAACCACAAGGGCGCAACCGCGAGCCCAAGAAACAGCCAGCAGCCACGCCTCGACGCGATTCCAGTCGGACCAACAACCGAGCGGCACGACGGCAAGCGGGCCCGCAACGACGGCGCAGTCGAGGCCGCGGCAGATTTTCGTCATGGCCATGGCCACAGTGTAAGGACCATCAGCACGACCACGCCACGGCAGATCAGCAGACTCCCCGCTGATTGCCCACAACTACGAGGCCCACGCCTTCTGATGCGACCGGCCTTACAGCGGCCCGTCAGTGCGCCCGCCTCTTCACTCACCATGCACACTTTTGCGCAGTGTTGCTCCATGACAGACAGGAGACGCCACGCCCGCTGCTATACTCCCGCGCCCAATCTCCGCGCTACCTTCTCATTCAAACGCGCGCGCCCGCGGACTGGATCGGCAGCGGCGCAGCTAGCCATCCAACCCCTAGACTCACATCTCCGACGTCAGCGGGAAGGGATTCCCGCAGGTCTCAGCGCGCGACGACGACGGCATCATCAGCCATGCCGCGAAGTTGGTCCTCGCGGGACATGCTCACCCACAAGCTACTTTCGCCTTTTCACCCGGACGTGTCTGCTGACATAAGGCCTCCGCCAACCTCCGACCTTCACTCCCTCCTGGCTTCCTTCTCGCAGCCCCTCTTCCCCCGCCTCAACTCGCCAACCTAACTCACTGCGCCCCCCCCCCCTCTTGTGGCGGGGTGATGGGGCGGGGGCGCGTGGGGCGGGAGTGGTGGTGGTGTGTGGGGGGGGGGGGCGTCCTGCCGCGGGCTGGCCTGGCGAGGGTCAGGTCGGGCGCGGTCGTAACCGCCGACGCTTGTAGCTTTGGTTTGGTCGGTCATGTCATAGAAACGCTATTAGGGCTACCTGCGCTATTCCCACCTTCCTCAAGCACAGTGCCCAGCCGCGCCACCTGGCCCCAGCGGTCGCGATCTCGGATCGCCTGTCCAACGCTGACGGAGGAGGATGGGTTCATTGGTAAGCATAGACCGTCGGGTGGGTGGGTGGGTGGGTGGGGGGGTTGCGAGGCCACGGCGCCACGGCGCGCCACCGCCACGGATGGCATAAACTTCTCCCGAGGACGGTGGACCCCCCCCCCAAGCGGTCACCACTCCCGTCATCTGGGCGCCCTACTCCTGTTCCGCATGGGAGGGTGCCAGTCACGGGGGTGGTGGATGTTTCGGGGAGAGGCCCTTATGCCATCCACCTTGGCGATATTGGCAATCCGCCACTTCCGCCGAAAGTGGAAGGTCCCGCCGCCGCCTGGATGGCGCGAGCCTCGCTCGCGTTCTGGAACCCCCTAGGCAGTTTCAGGGTCAATGTACTGGGAACCGCACGCTTGTTTTCGGGCGAGGCATCACGCCCTAGACCTTGGGGGCGCCTGTGGGGGGTCCATATGAACTGAGGGAAAG